AATTTCAAATAGTTAATTTGATACTAATATCGATATATTTTTGTCAAATTTTTATGATATCTTCAAACATATATTTTATTCAAAAATAAAAACATCATCGCTTTCTCAAAATCACATAAAGTCTTATTATAACATCAGCTGAGATAAAGAATAAAATGAAATATTAAAATCACGATGTATCTCGCTGCATTGCGCGAGTACGCTTCTAGTTTTAATAAATATTTCCATAAAATATTCAAATTAAGAGTATTTCATTTGACAATTAAAATTAAATACGAAAAAGAATAGAGAACCAAAAATCAACTAATAAATAAGCCAATTATTTCATAAATATTTTAATATGTTGATGTAGAATTTATATATAACATATAAAGATGTAATTATCTATATTATATTATAAAATATTTGACAAAAACTTTTAAAATTATCTTTTATTCATGAAATATTACTTAAAATTAAATATTACGAGTAAATTTTACATAAGTACAACTTATTAAGCTCCATATATGAATTCGTGTAACTAACTGTAAATAAATATGATCAAATACATGATAAAATTCTTATTTTAAATATATCTAAAATATAATTAGGATAATTATTGAATTCTAACAGAATGACTAAGTTATTATCGTTATAAAAATTATATTATTAAACCAAAAACAAATTATTTCGTCATTAGCCTAAATTAAATTATAATAAAAATTGAATTAAATAAATTACAAAAAAAAATAAGAACTTTTATATATTTTTTAATTTTTAGGATATCTTCAAATATATATTTTTAAAGAAAACATTATTGTTTGTTCAAAAGCACATAAATTTATATTAAAATCGAGATATATCTCGCTACATTGCGCGAGTATTTTTCTAGTAAAATTTAAATACAAACATACAAACAAGAACTATACACTCTTAAAACTACGAAGCTTAACAATCTCATAATTATTAATACAACAAACATCTGAAGACGTCGATTAAATATTTCTGCCAGAAACACCCAAATCCGTCGAAACATGGCATCACTGCCCGATGGGTTTGGATTTCAGACTATGATTGAATAAAATTATCTCATTCTTTTTTTTGTCTTTACTGATGAAATGGCAACGATTGAGTTTAAGGGTATAAAGATCAATCACTTATCTCCAAACTAATTAAGTAACCAAGAGACGGATCTCCACTGATAACATATTCGACCTTTTGATATAACTTTTGTTGTTTAATTGTCGTCACTACAACAAAATCGTGTTTATAGAACATTCTCAATTTCTGAGCGTCATAATATATCTCTTTATAAGACTTAGTTTATAGGATCAAAAAAATAAAGTGTCATATCTAAAGGCGTTGTAATAAGTTTATATGGCGTTTAATAAGTTTTTTATGACACTTTTAATATAAATCGTCTCATTACAACTTTATAAGACATTACTTGAAAAATTGTCCTATAAAAACAAATGTCCTATAAAAAATTGAGTTTATAAGACACTTTCTCAAAAGTGTCCTATAAAGTTGCTAAGACGACACTTTATATTAAAAATGTCCTAAAAAACTTGTTAAGATGCTCAAAAGGGTCATATAAACTTATTACGACACCTTTAAAATGACACTTTATATTTTAGTCCTATAAATTAAGTTCTATAAAGCGGTCTATTGGGACGCTTAGAGATTGATAGTGTCATATAAACCCAATTTATTGTAGTACGTGCATGTGAGATCTGGAGATTCAAATAATAATGTTAAATATCATGAGAAAGTAAGAAGGATTTAAATTTTCTTATATAAATTTTTTTAAAGATTGAGAGTGTCCTATAAACCCAATTTAAGTACCCTTGTAAGTAGATTCTAGAAGTGTATAGCAGTAGCAGCAACTCCACAATAAATGCAAGTTCTTAGGTAGGGGAGTTGGACTGTTGGAGTCATCTCTCTTCTTGTTGATTCATCATAAACAAAGTACCCTATAAACAACTTTGCCCCCCCCTACGCTTGTTCCTTTCAATTCATCATCCATACCTAACCCTAGAAATCTTCGATATCACTTTCTCTCTCTCTCTATATATATATAACCTAACACACACACATATACATATATATATATATATATAGTTGGGTTTCAGTTAGCATGAAAGTTATAGTAAAAAGGGTAAGAAATGATTTCAACATAAGAATATCAACATTAATGAGATGCACCGAATCAACTATTATATTAAGCGCAATTCATGGGGTGGGGTAGATTAAAAGTGATAAAGAGTCCAAATCTCTTCTTACGCTTCTCATCTTAACTCTTATTCCCACACAATCTTTCATTTATGTATATATATATATATATATATATATGTGTGTGTGTGTGTGTGTGTGTGTGTGTGTGTGCGGAAGATGATCAAAGTTTGTTCATTATGATCAATGTTTTAAATTAGAAAACAATAAAAATATTTATGAAATCAGATATTCATTAAACTTGACGGACGATTTTAGACTGGTTTGTATCATGTGTAATAATTAGAGGGTTTGTAAATATCTCATTAAATATTTAGGGAAAGGATAAAATGCAAAACAAGTGATCTGTACAAACCATGAAAATCATCGATTTCATTATTTAATTTAGTGAATTTTTTATGACATTGTTTCAAATGATTTATTTCTTGATGAAATTGTTTCATATGTCTTGTTTCTGTGTAAGTACTAACTTTACAAACTCATCTGAGCCGTTCATTTTTTTTTGTTCCAAAAGTTTTACTAAAATTCATAGGTAAAAACCAGAAAGTGAAGAAGATAATTAAGGTAATTTAAACAAAGTTTATAGGTGAAACAACGATTTTTGTTCAAAGTTTTTAATGTTGTTTCGTGTATGAACTTTGGTTGTTCCATTTATTTTTACCAAAGTTCATAGGTAAAACCAGAAAATGAATAAGATAATTAAAAAAGTTCAAAAAAAGTTCATAGGTAAAATCAAAAAGTTCATAGATAAAATCAAAAATGTAGATAACCTTTGTCAATTTTGGTTGCGGGCCAAGTCGTCCGCACACCAGTAGGCCCCTCACATGTGAAAAAGGTGTCCTAATGATATTATAATCCATCATATGTGAAACTGAATGAGAGACGCGTATGACCTATGGCATGGCCTAGGTCGTAGCCTAAGTCGTCTGTACACCATTAGTCTCACGGGTATTATCACATCTGATAAGAGTGCTCTCGCTTCTTCATAAAATGGGATGTTCTCGTTTGAACCTTCACACACAGACGCACACATATAGGGTTGTGTTAATGGAAGATATGGTGAAAAGGGTAAGAATAAATTTCCACCCTTGAATTGATCATAAATTGAATATCAACACTATTGTGATGCATCGTGTGATGCACCAGATCAATATCCGTGATAAGCTCAATTCATAGGACAGGGTTGAGATTAAAAGTGATGAGATGTCGAGACCCTTTCTTATGCTTCTCATTTTAACCCCTATTCTCACACGATCATTCGTGTGTGTATATATATATAATATTGGATTCACGTGAGACCAAACTGTTTTCATGAGACCCCATATTTACACTTGAAGCTTCAAAGCAAAACATTGTGAAAATAAAAAAAAAAATCCAAACATTCACAATAAAAACACTGTGAAGGTTATGAAGGTAACCTTCGCAGTGTTTTGTTGTAGGGTTTCAAGTGTAAAAACAAAGTTTCACAGGTCTCACGAAAACATGTTGGTCCCACATGATCCCAAGTCTTTATATATAACAGACTAGGTTCGGACCCATGTATTACACGGGTTAATGACAAAAATTAAGCGAAACTGATATGTATTTTATAAAGAATTAATAATCGGAGGTAACTTATAAACTTAGACAAAGGTACAAGTCCGATTAAATTTTTGATATAAAGATGTTCTTACTCGAGAATTAAATGTTACATATACAAAGGACGGCATGTGCTTCGATGATCAGAAAAACTTCTAAATGAAGACGAACAATGTAGATCCAATAGACAGCGCTGCGTAGTAGATGCAGAGCCTTTGTATACCTCTGTATGAGCCTTTGGTCCCACATGATCCCAAGTCTTTATATATAAGAGATATATCCATTTTTATCTTCACAGTGTTTTGATGTGAAGCTTCAAGTGTAAAAATGTGGTCTCACGGATCTTACGAAAATAAGTTTTTCTCACATGATCACAAGTCTATATATATATAAAAGATATACCCATTTTTATATAATTTCACATGTTTGTCATTTTTAAATTTAGTCCCATTTTTGTGTTTTCTTATGTTGAAAAGTTATCCGTAGTACCATGTAGTAGTTATACTTAATACATACATTTTCTTCAACAAATCAATATTTTCATTATGTCATTAATTGGCCAAGTAAAAGTTAATTAAGACAAGAGAAGTAACAAAAACTAATTACAATAAACAAGCGATGTATGAGTTTTCATGAAATCCGTGAGACCATTTTTTTATACTTGAAACTTCACAACAAAACGCCGTGAAGGTAAAAAAAGTCGAAACTTCATAGCAAAAACAYTGTGAAAGTTACCTTCACAGCGTTTTGCTGTAAAGTTTCAAATGTAAAAAAGTAATCTCACAGACCTCACGAAAACAGGTTGGTATCACGTGATCTCAAGTAATCAATTGCATACAACTATACATATTTTTATTTCATAAATTAACACACATTCATTGCAAAATATATATATTTACATAATTATAACACACAAAAATATAAATTGTAAAAATTAAATACAAACAAACATGGAATTAAGCACACTTCAAACCCTAAACACTAATGTCTTCTGTGATCCTTTCCATATTCCAATCTAGAAAACATCAAGAAATTTGGGCATTCCTGATAGATATTTCCACCGGAAAAAACACCCTAATACATCAGAAAATGACGTCATTATCCGGCACGATTTCAGGCTCCGGTGGAATACAAATTACATTATGAAAACAATCTGATGCATGATTAAGTTCAAGATCATGAAGATCATCACTTAATTATTATCTCCAAACAAGTAACCAAGAGATGAATCTCCACCAGGAACCGATTTAACCTTTGTCGATGGTCGCCCCTGATGATCACCGAAATAATTAGGTCAATATGAAAACACACACAGATATATATATATATATATATATATATATATATATAACAAGAAGAGAGAACTTACAGTCACTACGAAATCTTTAGACTTATCACCGTCTCCATGATAGATATATTTGTTGGGAGATGAGGAGCGGTCGGCTTTGGAAGGGGGAGTTGGGGCTTTTTCCGGTGGCTTCTCTTCGACGTCGTTATCGGTGCCGTATGGCGGCATAGAAACGAGCGGTGACGATGATGATGATACTTTCGATCGATCGTTTTGCTGTTTGTCTGAATCAGTGGAACCAAACAAGTACCCCAAAGAACTTTGTCCTCCACCGGAGCTGTTTCTTCGATTCATCATGATCAATCTAACCCTAATCTCTCTCTCTCTCTCTCTCTCTCTCTCTTCTCTCTCTCTCTCTTCTCTCTCTTCTCTCTCTCTCTCTCTCTCTCTCTATATATATATATATATATATATATGTAACCAAATTATACAAGTACACGAACTATAGATGAGAGACACCCACCTTTTATAGATTGATGTTTGTCATTAACTTTACATTTTTGAATTTATGAAGAAAATAAAAAAGAAAATCTTTGAACAAAAGAAAAAGAAAAGAAAAAAAATCTTATTTTTACAAATATACCCTTTAAAAAAAATTCGATATAGAGGGGGGCGGCCCCTCCAATCAAGAAAAAAGAAAATAAAGACAATTTTTTTGGATTTTTTAAACTTTTTTTTGTGAAAACAGGAAGCAAAAACCAAGAACAACACTCGGAAAAAAGCTAAACCGAAGCAACCACCGGAAAAGAGCAAAACTCAGAAAAAGAAAGGGGGAGGGAGATACCCTTTAAATTTATATGCTTTAAAATGAAAAGTTTGGATAGTTTTGTAATTTTAAAAATACAAAACACTTTTTTTAAGATGGGGGTGGGGATTGTTTTGGTTGGTTGATTTGTTTCTTTAACTTTAATAATTTGGTGGTTGTTAGAGTTTGTGGGTTTGCAGTTACAATCATTTGGATTGTGCATGAGAAAGCAATTTCCACATACAATATTTTGAAACTCAAAACCTTAGGTTTCATGAAATGGGTATTGGGAGGATACAAGAAATTATGGGTCGTTTATCAAATACTTACCTGATAAGTATTTATCGGTAAAATTTAAAATTATTATTTATTTAACGGATAAGATTTTATTCCAAAACGGCATCGTATGCAATAATTTATCCAGCAAACGCTTACCGTGATAAGAGTTGTATATAAGACATTCTCAAGTACATGCACATATTCAGCTTCTCAAAATCCACAGAGATAAAACAATAATAATCATCTTTCACATCTTCCCCTTCCCTTTACCTTCCACCGGTGTCTGTTCTATAATGCACATTTTTAATATAAAATAAGGGTTAGACTACAAGGTCTAGTGAGTAATCCGTTTGATTGCTATTACATGACAAAAATCACTAAAAACACTTTTAGAAAACCCACGTTTGTATTAATAACATATAAAAAGTGATTATTGTAACAAACCTCTTTTGTCGCATCATAAATATAAGACAACATCACCTTATCGCATTAAACCCATTGAGGTATCAAAATTATCGCATCAATACATAACACACCAACTTGTCGCATCTCATTGATGCGATAACACATTTTGTCGCATCATACACATGCGATAACCCCACTTGTCGCATCTTATTCATGCGATAACATATTTTCCTCACGTCACATTGATGCAATAAACATAATTCCTCGCATCACATTGCAATAAACATAATTCCTAACAAACAATTTGGTTATGTCACCTTTATTCCAAAATACACATCTCCTGATTATGTCACCCTTATTTCAAATTATACACATCTCCTAATTATGTCACTCTTATCTCATAATACACTTCTCTAATTTATGCCACTCTCGATCAATTGAATAATAACATATCAAAACCCAAAATCATACTAAAAATAACATATAATCAAATTAGAACATCTCATGTATAAAAACAGGAAATCATACGATTTATTCACCAAAAACAAATCAAATAATGCTTTTAAAATAAAACTCATCTTAAATTCTCAAATAGATGATAACTTTAACAACAACAAATAATCTGATAAAATCACGTATCAATTTCTTATTCTACTTTGGTTTAGGAAACACATATACATTCACCAACTTTTCTTATCCCAAAAATCACCCAAATGAAAATGAAACATATATATTTAAAAATGTAAGACGGTTTGTGAATAAGATATTTTAAAGCACATTTTCAAAACACACCTTTTACTTTCAATTTTTTTAAAAAAAACAACCCTAAATAAAAATCTGGTTATCACATAAAGTGAAAAGTGTAAAAAGGGATCTTGACACTTAATCACTTTTAATCTCACCCCACCTCATGAATTGCGCTTATCACGGGAGTTAATCATGTATTTCTCTCTGCACCATATTAGTATTGATCTTCAATTATGATGGATCCAAGACAGTGAATTATTTTTTACCATTCTCATTGGTACTTTTATTCTCACCGGAAACCAACCATATATATATATATATATATATATATATATAGAGAGAGAGAGAGAGAGAGAGAGAAGAGTAGAAGAAGAAAGAAAAACATACATTTATCGATAATTTACATTTCAACTCAAAAATAAGTACCCCGAAACTCTATGATTTAATTATCCCCTTTGAACTCAAATAGCAACGAAACATATATGTTTGTAAACCTAAACCATGCATTTGGACAAATCCAATTTGATAATCTATATTATATTATAAAATATTTGATAAAAACTCTTAAAAATCATTTTTTATACATTAATTACTATTTATTAATACACATTACTTACAATTCTAATTGTACGTAAGTACAACTTATTAAAACTCTATGTTTGAATTCTTGTAACTAACTGCAGATAAACATAATCAAATAAATGATAAACATTTCATTTCAAATATAAAAAATCTAAAAATATAATAAGAATAATTATTGCGTTCCAACAAAATACTTAATTATTATATTTGTAACAAAATTATATTATTAAATCAAAAATAAATTACTTCGTTATTAATCTTAAATTAAATTATAATAAAAAGTAATTACATACAAGAACAAGAATTTTTAAATAGTTAATTTGATATTAATTTCAATATATTTTTTTCAAATTTTTATGATATCTTAAAATGTATGTTTTTTTCAAAAATAAAAACATTATCATTTTTATCAAAACCACATAAAACCGTATTATAACATCGATGGAGACGAAAAATAAAACAAAACATTAAAATCAAGATGTATCTCATTGTATTACACGAATACTCTTCTAATTATTTTTAATTAGATAATCAAAATGTAGTTGAATACATATTTTAGTTCAATAGCAAACTTAAGAATTTATACTTCTGATTAATAAATTTCAAGATAATATTATATATTTGATAGATAATCAAATTATAAGCGAAGGCATCAAAATGAAAATTTTATATAATTAATAATTAATTCATTAAAGTGATTTCGTTTTTATATAAAAAAAATCGTGAAGTTTTTAATTGATTAAAATTTTTTTTACTTATACTATTAAATATCATAAATATGTACGAATTATGTGTAAAAGTTACACCTTCTACCCTTATGGTTTTTTATTTAATTTGTAACTATAGAGATATAAATTGTAAGTATTAAAAATAATTCGTAAGTATTAACAATATACGGTTAAAACAAAAAATATTCAATATCGGACTCATTTTAAACGTACAAACGAGACGATTATATAATGATGTAATTTATAAAAAAGAAACGTATTTTTTTATGTATTTTAGTTAGTATACAATTACGTGTATTAATGAAATAAATGTGTAAAATGGAACATGTAAAAACAAGGAATATAAAGTAAATTAAATAACTAATTAGAAGGTGTAAAATATAAAAAAAATTAATCATATAATATATAATAATAAACTTGGTTAACATTTGAACCAGTCCCTATATATATATATATAGAGAGAGAGAGAGAGAGATGAGTTATTATACAACCCTTTACATTTTTACAACCAATACAACTCAATCTCAACCGTCTATTTAATTTGATGAATATGTAATTTCATAGAATATTAATTGTTTGCTAATATAAAGTATTGATCATAATTAATGAACCTTATAACATAATATTTAATTATGATCTCTATAAAAATTATATTATTAAAAAATTATTTCGTTATTAAACATAAATTAAATTATAATTAAAAAATTGAATTAAAAAATTGAATTAAAAAAATTACACAACAAAACAAGAACTTTTAAATAATTAATTTGATACTAATATCGACATATTTTTTTTAAAAATTTAAGACATTTTCAAATATATATTCTATTCAAAAATAAAAACATTATGATTTTTCTCAAAACCACATAAAACAATATTATAACATCGACAAGGGATATAATAAAAAGAAACATTGAAATTGAGACGTATCTCGGTGTATTGTGCGAGTACCCTTCTAGTAATATTTTTTTTTTGAACTATATAATATTTATATACGACAACTGCAATAAATAAACTCACACACACTCCTCACCTTTGGTGAGGTTTGAACCCTTGACCTCCTAGGAGGCCAAAAACCCTTCTAGTAATATTTAATGTAACATTTAACATATTTGTTTCACAACATTTTTGTTTCATATATATATATTCGACTTACAAAGTGAAACTTTATACATGTATTTTTTGTTTCACAAAATGCCAAAAAATTCACATTATGAACCAAATACATTTCGAAACAAATTTAACAAATGTGATTAAATGAACTTTGTGTTAGATTAAAATCCTCCCCCTCCCAGTATTTTTTAATCAAAAACAGATAAACGATAATCAAAAATTAAAGCAAAACAAATTACCCAAAAAATGATTATTTTTTAATTTAATCTTTATATTAATATATATTTTTTTAAATTTAATTTGACATGGTTTACATTGATAAATTCCAAGAAAAAAATGATGGCATTTTGGAAATTAAGCAAAATACATTGATGGGTGGGTTACATCAAGGGACATTTCCTTTGGGGAACAAAAGATTAATGGTGTTTAATCAAGAAAAGGTGAGCCTTTAATTACCCATTTAATAATTCATTCAAATTTAAAGCAAATTCTACCAAAATTCATTTCAATTCCACCTCACAACCCAAACTCCAATTTAATTAAACCCCAACTGGATTTCTGGTATTTGGTTAGAGGTATTAAGCAATAATCGATGAGAATGAAGATAAAAGAAACTGTTTGGTTTTCTATAATATAATGAGTTCATTTCTCCAGAAGCCCAAAATTTTATTCCTGGTTAAACTGAGATGAATGAAAATTCATTCACTGTCATTTTCATTTTCATTCCTCAGCATTAGCCAACATTGTTTAAATAAACTTTTAAAT